GTCCATTCACTCATTCATTTGGCCAGTATTTCATGAGGGCTCCCCCTGTGCCAGGCACCGTATCTGTGCTAAGATTATAAAGATAAAAGAAATGTTATTACCTAGAGTGCTCTCAAGTTTCTCTCGGATCTGGTGAGGGAGACAGACAAGTTATTTTTTTTTAATTATTTATTTATTTGAGAGAGAGCGAGAGAGTGTGGGGGGAGGGGCAGAGGGAGAGAAACTTCAAGAAGACTCCCTGCTGAGTGCAGAGCCCAATATACGCTCAATCTCATGACCCAGGAGACCATGACCTGAGCCAAAACCAGGAGTCGGATACTCAACCAACTGAGCCAGACAAGCTATTATAATCACAATACATGTGGTCTACACACAGCTATGAATATATTTATAATGCATGTGGTTCCTGCGGGCAGATGTGAGCAGCATGGCATGCAGGCACACAGAGGAACTAAAACCCAGATTTGGTGATTCAGTGTCAGGGTGAGGGATAGTTATGGAAAGCCTCCACGCTATTCAGGCTAAGCGTTAAAAGATGACAAGGCAGGAGAGGTGGAGAGAAGCTGTTCCACACACAACAGCAACTTATTAACCCATGGATTGAGTGCACTGAAGATGGGGAGAAGAGGTGAGGGAAGGAGGAGAGAAGAAATGCAAAGACCCTGACGCTGGGGCTCCCTAAGCAAAGGGTTTTAAGACCGAAACCTCCAAACCAAGAGAGATTTGAAGCAAGAAAATAACAATCCTATTTTGTCTCTTTTTATTATCAACATTTATGTCTTCACTGTCACAGATACCCCTGTAGGGCCAAGAGCAGGCCACCCCAATATGTGTCACTTTGGCATACTAATTTTTTTATCATACTGATTATTTTAAATAAAAATTACTTAAGAGACAGCCTATGCAAGGACATTCAGACCCTCTTCTGTCCCTATGAGAGCTGGAAATAAATCTCCAATGTGAAAGGTACCCTCCCTGTATTAGGCGGTAAAGACACATCCTCATTATTCTTAATCTCAGGAAACAAACGGAGGGTTGTTGGAGTGGTGGGGGGGTGGGAGGGATGGGGTGGCTGGGTGATAGACATTGGGGAAGGTATGTGCTATGGTGAGCGCTGTGAATTGTGCAAGACTGTTGAATCACAGATCTGTACTTCTGAAACAAATAACGCAACATATTTTAAAAAAAAAGAAAAAGAAGAAGATAGCAGGAGAGGAAGAATGAAGGGGAGTAAGTCAGAGGGGGAGACGAACCAGGAGAGATGATGGACTCTGAAAAACAAACTGAGGTTTCTGGAGGGGAGGAGGGAGGGGGGATGGGTTAGCCTGGTGATGGGTATTGAGGAGGGCACATTCTGCGTGGAGCACTGGGTGTTATGAACAAACAATGAATCATGGAACACTGCACCAAAACAAATTATGTACTGTATGGCGATTAACATAACAATAAAAAATTTAAAAAAAAAGACACATCCTCATTATCACCAGAGATAGGGAATGTAGAGCTGAGAAGGAGGTATAAACAAACCTTGCTACCTTTTACTAATTTACTACCACAGCCCAAATTCCATTTACAATTCCTTACTATCTGAAGCTCCCAAAGTTAAGTCTTCTTTGACCTGCCAATTCCTCACATACTCTCTCTTTGCCTCAGAAGTATAAAAACTGCCTGCCTTGGTCATTTCTTTAGGTCTCAATTTCATTATTGGCCTTCCACATGCACATAATAAAACTTTGGTGTTTTCTCCTGCTAATCTGTCTCATGTCAGATTTAATTCTTAGGCCAGCTGGAAGACCTTCAAGGGGAGAGGAAGAATTTTTCCTTCCCTACACCCCCATTGACTACAGATGATATAATTAAAACTAGGCAAGTTCTTGTGTGTGTGCATGCATGTGTGTGTATGTATTTTCAGCAATTTGAAAATCTACCATCTAATCAGAATCACCATGTTTTTCCTGCATTTGTTTAAAGGAAAAAGTTACCTTTGTTTCTAAAAATAAAACGTTTAGTATCTGACACATACGTTAAACTTGCATGTTAAACCACAAAAGAGGTAGCTCAATCTCAATAGGTTCTATATTTAGTTTATAACAAGTCAGTCACCAGGCCAACTAAGGCAAATTAGCTCACCTCTCTAGGATTCACTGTCCTAATTTACAAACAAAGGAGAGTTATTGCCAGGTCTCTTAGACCATGAAAAGAAAAATTTTTAATAAAGTACTACAAGTCTTTTCAATAAAAGATGAGTTTACTATGATAAACTTATTACTTTACAACTGTTTCTAATATATAACTAAATATTATTTATAATTATGGAAACATTCTACACAGAACAGTAACAATTTCTTTATCCTTATAAGCTTGACTCAAAGTAACACTGCATTCTAAATAAGAGAGCGATCTCTTTCTGCCATGAAATCCTGTGAGAATCTGCAAACCCCTTTGTACGGTTTTTCTTAAAATGTCAAAATAATTTCCTTCTGCTTATCATTTTTATGCTCTTATAACCCTTCCTATCATAATGTATAATAACAGCAACTTATAATAATATGTGCATGATAAACCTTCCATCAGACTCCACGTTGCACGAAAGCAAAAACAAGGTCTATTTTGTTCACTGCTGTATATCCAAAATTTATCACAGTGCTTGGCACATGGCAACTGCTCAATAAATGTCTATTAAATTATTTTTAAAATACTGAAAATGTTAATCAGTCCTGAATAAAAGAGTGAGCAATTTGGCAGGTATTCACTCAAAGATAAATCTGTTTGAAGTCCAGGGACATCAGCAGAGATTACAAATCCTTTCTTCCAAGCAGAGTCATAAAGAACTTTTTTAAAATTTGAAGTTTATGAATTTCTGTGTCAGCTGTTTTCTCTAACTGTAGGTATGAACCTTCAGATAAATGCTTGCTGTTTCCTATAAGGTTGTTCTTTTACTTATCTGCAGCTGTATTTTTTCTTCTTTAGACTGTTTATTTTCCCTTTTCCTTACTTTGGATTTTATCTGCAACTTACTTGGATAATGATTATCTTTGCGTAGCACTTTATGATTGTCTATGGACAATAACTTTCCAAGTAGAAGAATGTAGATATTATGATCCTTATTTGCAGAGGAGAAAGATGAAGCTCTAAAATGTGAATGAGCTGCCGTAACAAGGAAGGCAATGAGCAGGACTGGGACCAGTAAAGAGCTTTCTGACTCCTAATGTGGTCCTCTTGAATCTACAGGAAAGCCTTCCAGGAAAACCACACAGACATGCTCCCCCACCATGCACAGATACACAGGTATACTTGAAGGAGGAGGTGGGAAGCAAGCGAGAAGAATTATGACTTGAAGAGTGAGTGAGTCAAAGTTGAGTTGGAAATGGTGTGAAGGTCAGAATGATCCTGCACAGAAGCCCACTCTGTGTTCCCTCTTAAATATGAACCATGCCTGAAGCCTAAATGGTGTATTGGGACTAAAGAGTCCAGGTCCTTTCTACTACGGATACATTTGATTTGGGGAGAAAATGCACTAGATTGGGAAAAAAAAAAAACAATAAAATCAAATGTATACAGATTAACTTAGGCCCTTAACTTCACTTTCTATTTGTAGTAATTTCATGTGAATATTAGTAGCGTGGTCTTGAATTATTCTTTTACTTAGCATGTAGACATAAGCTACAAATTCAACTTTCTCATACTTAGCAGTGAATGAAGGAAACAAAGCAAGCTAGTTCTCAATAGAGAGATAAACAGCCAATACACACCTGAAGGAATGTCTCAACTAGTTATAAAAGAAAAATACAACAAAATTTCATTTTTCACTCATTAAATTGGCAAAACACTTAAAATAGCCACCAAAAAGAATAGGGAAATGGCAATTCTCAAATACAGCTGGTGGGAATACATAAATAGAGGCAAAAAGAACCATTCTGAAGCATAGTATGGTAATGAATACCAAAGGCCTTAAAATATTGTTCCAATAATTCTACCCAATAATTATGTCTGTTCCTGAGATGATCAGAAATGTGCATCAAGATTTCCATCCACAGTTGTTACTACTGCCACAATTACCACCATGCAAATAACCTAAATGATTAATCATATAAAATTTTAAAGTAACTGATGAATGCTAGGAAACATTAAGAATAACATTATCAAATATACTTCAGAATACAAGATGATGAAAATATATATTTTAGGCAAAAAGGCAAGTTATAGAAGAGTAGGTATGATTCCAGGAACATAAAAAATAATAAACAAATGTATAGAAAAATGACTACAGGGATATACACAAATATTCATAGAGAATTTCTCTTGATAAGATTACAAGTGAGTTTTCTTTATACTTCTTTTGTCCAAATTTTTTTTTCACACCAGTCAGAATGGCTAAAATTAACAAGTCGGGAAACAACAGATGTTGATGAGGATGCAGAGAAAGGGGAGCCCTCCTACATTATTGGTGGGAATGCAAGCTGGTGCAGCCACTCTGGAAAACAGTATGGAGCTTCCTCAAAAAGTTGAAAATACAGCTACTGTACGACCCAGCAATTGCACTCCTGGGTATTTACCCCAAATTTTTAAGTATATAATATTTATAGTCAAAAATGGAATAATAGGTCTCTTTTAAAACTCTGCCCATGTTTCTCAATAGCGTATTTCTCCATATTAATGTAGGTATGATCTTCAAAAGTCCCAAGACTTAACTAATACAATGTTACATGTCGATTATATCTCAACCAAAAAAATTTTTTTTAAAGTCCCAAAGCTAAAAGAAAGTTACTGAACTTAAGTTCAACTTTTTCAAACAAGAATATATCATCAGGTCAACTGATATAGATAAAGGCAAAGAGACTAAACATTAGACCAGCACTAGAGATAAGACCTACGACTACAGGTATATTACTGTACAATATTCCCCAGAAATTCTGGTGTTGGAATTATAATAGAAGCTTTTGGTGATACGTCATAAAGCTTGTGTTCCAGTCACAAATAGCAAGAGTAATCAGTTCAGATTTAGCAAGGAACTCAAATAAATGTTAATTAGGAGAATAGAGACTCTTTACAAGCATCTAAATGTCAAACCAATCAAAGGATTATGGGTACACTAATATAAACAAGAACCAGGAAAGAAGCCTTCTGGTTGGACCAACACCCACTGGGGAGGGTATATAAGAGCCTCAAAGCAAGAGGAGACATTCACACCTTAGAAGCCTCATCTGTTGTTACAACCAAAGCAATTAAAAACACAGATTCCCAACGTCATGGCTTGCTGTGTGCCCTGCTGCTGCAGCGTCCCCACCGGCCCCGCCACCACCATCTGTTCCTCTGACAAATGCTGCCGGTGCGGAGTCTGCCTGCCCAGCACCTGCCCACACACGACTTGGTTACTGGAGCCAACCTGCTGTGACAACTGCCCCCCACCCTGCCACATTCCTCAGCCCTGTGTGCCCACCTGCTTCCTGCTCAACTCCAGCCACCCCACCCCAGGCCTGGAGACCATCAACCTCACAACCTTCACTCAGCCCTCCTGTGAGCCCTGCATCCCAAGCTCCTGCTGAATGATGGCTGCTTTGCTCCGTGCCTGACAATGAAGGACCCGGAAGGTTTAGCGTTCACCTGTTTCAGTACCTGCAACTAATTGCCTCTGCTTTCCAAGTTGAAACAAGGATGACGTTATCCCTGACAACTCTGGCTCAAAAAGAAACCAAGAGACTTTCAATGGCCACGTGGTAGATAGTAGTGATCAAGGGCAATTTGAAGAGGAGGATGCTATTGCCTTCCAAAGTTTTTCATTTCCACCCTATTAAAGTTTATCTTTCTTTGGGTACTTTGGGAATTCTGTTTCCAGTGCTGGGTGGTAACTTTCTGGAAACTGAGGAGCTTCTTCATGATCATACTAATAAATTTTCCATCTCTGGCATAGCACAAATGTCTACAATTATGTTTGTTTATTCCTATCAATTCATTAAATGTACTTACCTCCAAAAGTCAGCATTTTAAGAACTGAGAACATCTGCAAAACTAAAAATAGTGACTGTACAAATGTTTCTTGCGTTTATTGTTCTTGTTTTTTAAAGAAAACTAAATGGCTTTGCATATAAGAAGGTCTGCTATATCAGCATACTTGCAAATAGACTTTCCCTGACTTTTCCTCCCAAAAAACGGTTTAAGGTAAATTGGGAAGAACTGAACATGATATGAAGACATAACATAACAAGTCCCAATGACTTGATGGGTTTATGCAAAAAAAATAGTAACTTTATAATGTCATTATTCATTCAGTAAACATTTATTCAATACCTAATTATGTGCCCTATATTTTATTGTCCCTGCTCAAAATGAGTAGACTGTCTTAGCAGGTCAGGCAGATACAAACACAATACCCATTCATTCCTTTGTACAATTAACAATTATTTATTGAATGCTGGGCACTGTATTATAATAAAAAATATAAGTGTTCTACTAGTAGTATTAGTAAAGTGCTGTGATACCATAAAATTGAGGACAATTAAGAAATTAAGATTGTTGCCATAGTGATAAACAGGAGAAAGACATAGTCAAAGACTAACTAGAGCTGGTGTCAAAGGGATATGAAAGAGAGGAAGGTGTCAAAGAGAGCTTAGGCAGTGGGGTTATGTCACCAACGGAGCAGAGAAGGAAAAGAGAATTAAAGAAGGAAATTTTGTATTCTGCTCTAGATCTGTCAGGTTTGAGGCACAATTCTGCATCTAAATGGGAGGTTAGCGAGCTAAAATTTGCACAACAGTGTTCTAGAGAGGAATATGAGGGAAGGTGCACAAGTCTGTGCAAAAGTTCTTATCAAGTACTTGCAATGGGCTGGGTTGTATGCATGCAGGATAAAATTCCATGAGGCTAACAGAGTGGCTACTGGGGAATAAAGAGCTGAATGCGGATACCAGCAGTCAATCAATACTAACAGACACCGAAGTTCCAGCACATCCAGAGATGACAAAGCTCTCAGTACCTCTGGCATTCAACTGATGTTCCAGAAGGACACACCAAAAGAGGAAAAATCACAACCTTGAGTAAAGAACACACCAAATTATACTTGCTCTAGGAAAGTCTAAAACCAAGTCTGAGAGAATCAAGAGAATCTTCCAGTGATTTAACTTCTTGTCAGAACAAAACTCAACACGCTGCACTCTATAACATATCAAGACTTCCTAAAATACATCATCCAGAATCAACAACATATACTTAAAAATTGCCAGACAGGGGTGCCTAGGTGTCTCAGTCGGTTAAGCAACTGACTCTTGGTTTTGGCTTGGTTGTGGTCTCAGGTTGTGGGCTCCACACTCACTGGGGTGTCTGCTTCCTCTCCCTCTTCCCCTCCCCCCACTCACAGGCATGCTCACTCTAATAACTCTGAAAAAAAAAAACAAACCAAAAAAACCCCACAAAATTTGCCAGACATATGAAGCAGGAAAATGTCATCCATAATAAAGAAAAAAAATCAGCCAATAAAAACAGGTCCATAGACACACAGATATTAGAATTAACAGACAAGAATTTTATAACAATTACTATAAAAGTTATTATAAGTATTTTCTTGGACTTAGGGAAAGATGAACGCAATGTGAAAGGAAAACAGTGAACAAGATGAAGAAACTCATCAGAAAACTGAAATTTTAAACTTCTAACAAATTAATAACAAGCTAAATTAAATTTAAATTATTTAAATTAAATGAAAAGCAAATAAAAATTATAGAACTAAAGGGTACAATCTGAAATAAAGAATTCAATAGATGGCCTTAAAAGCAGATTGGAAATTGCCAATTAGGAGTTCAGTGAATTAAGATAACTCAAAATAATCGTAAGATAGATAAAAATTATCAAAACTAAAACAGAGGGGCGCCTGAGTGGCTCAGTCAGTTAAGCGGCTGCCTTCGGCTCAGGTCATGATCCCAGGGTCCTGGGATCGAGCCCCACATCGGGCTCCCTGCTCGGCGGGAAGCCTGCTTCTCCCTCTCCCTCTGTCTGCCGCTCTGCCTACTTGTGCTCTCTATCTCTGTCAAATAAATAAATAAAAATCTTAAAAAAAAAAAAAAAACTAAAACAGAGAAAGGGATTGAAAAAAATGAATAGAACCTGAGCAGCCTCCTGTGGGACAGCACCAAGTGACCCAACAATTATGAAATAGGAGTTCCAGAATGATAGGAAAGTGGGGCAGAAAATTGGGTAGAAAAGGGCTGAATTTTTTCCCAATTTAATGATATAACTTATTGAACTGCAAGTTGAAGACTCTCAACAAACCCCAAACAGGTAACACAACCAACCTACACACACACACACACACACCACCTAGCTATACCACAAACGGTTGAATAAAAAAAGATCAATAGCACACCTTAAAAGAAGAGGAGTAAATACACATTAAATAGAGGGCAGCGAAGAGAAAAAGAACGTCTGCCTTGTATTTAGAAAAGAAAAAAAAATGGAGGCCAGAGGACAATCAAATCTCGTTTTAAAGGTCCTGGAAATAATAATAAAAAAAATCTATTAACTCAGAGTTTTATAGTTTGTAAAAACCACTTTCAAAATGGAAGGAAAATGAAAACACGTCTAGATAAAGCTAATAAGAAGTGTCCACCTGAAATACCACGTTCGAGTTCTGGTTCACGAGGACGACTGAGCAGCTCCTGAACGCCCCTCCTCCCACAGAGACGCTGGTCTACGGCTACATTTAGAACCACTTTCTCTTACAGAAACCTAACGGCTGGCTGAGCGACACACCAGGCCACCGAAGCGGGTAGGGAGAGGCCCAGGCACAACCTGGCCAACAGCCCCCTCACCCACCCGCCCCCCACCTCTGGGGGTGAGGGGTGACCAGCAACCAGGAGAGAACTCAAAACCCGGAGCCTCTCCCTGAGCAGCTAAGCTCAAACCCCACATCGGGCATCCCAACTTTCAGACACGCACTTGAAAGACAAACCCCCAAAACAACCAGTCCTGAACACCAACGGGGGCTCGAACCCCAAGCCCCACGAGACAGCGATCTGAGAAAGGGCTCTTAAGGGGCTCGCGCTTGGACTCACCGGTGCCGGGCCCTGCTCGAGGCAGCCAAGGGTCCCCAGACTTCAAGCGGAGGAGGCGCTCCTGCTTATAGTAAAGCGTGGGTGGCTGAGGGCTGTCACTACTCCACACACACCTCAGGGACAGCACGGACCGAGGCTGCTGGGCGCCACCTTGGCGTTCCCCCGCTCGTGCTCCCCGGCTGCAGGGTTTCCCTAAACCGAGCGTTTATTATACTCAGCTGGTGCCCGGGGTTTTGCAGCCACAGCTGCCTAGCCGATACGTCTTGATCACCTGGCTCTGGAAGCCAGAGGAGCTTGTGTTCCTGGTCCCATGGGACTGTAATAATCCGTGTCACCCAGGAAGGAGCTCAGGACCCTGTGTGGCACCCCGATTTTTGGGAGTTCTACAAGGGGACACCTATTGTGGCCATTGGAGCTTATTTATGTTCATGTGTCCCAGAGGACTGTAACCAAGGGAGAAAGAGTTCTTACCCAGGAGCTTGGTCTTTCCAAGAGGCCTTTAGCTAATCATCATGGCTGCACCTGAGGGGCAGATTTCCAATTAAACATACAACTGTAATCCTTTCTAGAGACTTCGGCGGTGGGCGCTATCTTCACCTTCACCTTCTGCAGCACTTCAGAGCACCAGTGTCCCCTGAAAGGGAACTTTACATACATCTGGTGCCCTGGTTTTTGTCTGGTGCCCAAGGGACACTCCTTGTTTACTTTGCACTTTGGGGTTCCACAGGACTGTGGCAACTGGGTAGACAGTTCTTGGCAGGCTGCCACCCCAAAAGAACTACATAAATAATGCATTTCCCCCCCCCACCCCCACCCCCTCCTCTTTCTGTGAAGAAGAGACCTCTTCCTTGTCCCGGAGCTTTGGCCTGCAGGGAGGGCTCCAGACCCAGCACACATTTAGTGTTGAGCTTCTCTCAAGGGACCGTGGACACCGTCTTGGCACTCTCTCTGCCTTGCTCCAGCTCGGTGGTATAACCCAGAAAAGGGCTTATACACTCATCTTGAGTTTTTGTGACCGCTGCTCAGAGGACACCTCCAGATCACCTGGCTTTGCTGGCCAGTGGGACTTATGCTTAGGGTCCCACAGTATATATTTGCATACTTTAAAAAGCTAATGCCTAAGAGTCTGGTTCCCAGTCACCCTGAGTCTAGATGCTGACTAAGATCCTCCCCTTTGGGGCACTGACAGGTCTTGGCACAGCCTTAACTGCTGGGAGCTATTAAAAATATAACAGGCTATCGGCATCAGGGAAATCCAAATCAAAACCTCAATGAGATACCACCTCACACCCGTCAGAATGGCTAAAATTAACAAGTCAGGGAACGACAGATGTTGGCGGGGATGTGGAGAAAGGGGAACCCTCCTACACTGTTGGTGGGAATGCAAGCTGGTGCAACCCCTCTGGAGAACAGTATGGAGGTTCCTCAAACAGTTGAAATTAGAGCTACCGTTCGATCCAGCAATTGCACTACTGGGTATTTACCACAAAGATACAAATGTAGGGACCCGAAGGGGTACGTGTACCCCAATGTTTATAGCAGCAATGTCCACAATAGCCAAACTGTGGAAAGAGCCAAGATGCCCATCGACAGATGAATGGATAAAGAAGAGGTGGTATATATACACAATGGAATATTATGCAGCCATCAAAAGGAATGAGATCTTGCCATTTGCAACGACGTGGATGGAACTGGAGGGTGTTATGCTGAGTGAAATAAGTCAATCAGAGAAAGACATGTATCACATGACCTCACTGATATGAGGAATTCTTAATCTCAGGAAACAAACTGAGTGTTACTGGAGTGGTTGGGGGTGGGAGGGATGGGATGGCTGGGTGATAGACATTGGGGAGGGTATGTGCTACGGTGAGCG